TAGCCAATCCCTTATCCTCAATTAAATGACTCTTTCACTAAGTGTTCCCTGCTCAAATTACTGGTCTGGTTTCTATCACCTAAGTGGACCATAATGATACAGAATTGGTACCAAAAATAGAGTTTATTTCCCACCTTCTATATGCCTTACTGAGGTATCTAAAATCCTTGCTACTTCCTGTTCATCACAATCAACAAAGTTCAGTGGCCCACTAGGATGTTTTGTGGAAAGTCAAAGCAAGCAACATCTCTACAGACCACGTTATGGCAGAGAACAGAACTCACATAATAGCCCTGATGTAAGAATGTGAGTGTGTACTGTTGGCCCTGCCAGGTAAAAGCAAACTACTTATGGAGGTTTTTTTCAAACTGGTTTGGACACAGGGTCTTTAGTCAGGTTAACAGTTGTCTACCAAGTGACAGCAGCTATTGATGATTTTCTCCAGTAAAGATACTACATCTGGAACCATAGCTGCAAATGCAGTAACCACCTGCTTATATTATTTACAAGAGTCCACAGCCAATCTTCAAGATCATTCTAATGCAAAGGTAAAACAGCCAAGTTAAATGGGGATGTGGTTAAGTGTTACTGTCCCTTCTTCTTTCAGGTTCAATGTTAGCACTGATTTCTGCCGTCACACCAGGGAAGCAGCATACTTATGATTTACGATCTTGGTAGGGAGCAAGTGTTCCAGAGACTTCTACTTGGTCCTAACTACCATAATGGCCTTCCCTCCATGAGTCAGAAAGAAATTCCGTCTGTTGCCAAGTATGTCTATTGCAATTATATATTCAGTAACTGAGGAAATAACCAAAGGCGGGGTCCATAGAACAAGTGTAAATCAGACTAAAGACTCCATCCAGCTGTAGCCAATGTGGCTCAGTTGGTTGGAGCATCATTCCATACACCAAAAGGTTGCAGGTTTGATTCCCAGTGAGGGCACATAGCAAGATTGTGTGTTTGATCCCCAATCAGGGCATGTACAGGAGACAACCAATCAATGCTTCTCTCTCCCACCTTCCTCTCTCAAAAAAAAAAATTGAATGAATAATCTGAATAATCTCATTTTCTACCTAAAGAAACTACAAAAAAGCCCTGAGTGGCATGGCTTATTCAGCTGGCGTCATTGCACAGACCAAGAGGTTGCTGGTTTGACTCCCTGTCAGGGCACATGCCTAGGTTGTAGATTCAATCCTTGGTCGAGGCACATTCAGGAGGAGGCCAATCAATGTTTTATCAATGTCTCTCTCCCTCCCTTTCTCCCTCCCTTCCTCTCTCTTTAAAAATAAGTAAATAAAATCCTTAAAAAAAAAAAAAAAACTACGGAGTTGTGGCTGGGTAGCTCAGTTGGTAAGCATATCATCCCAATACGCAAGGCTGTGGGTTCAATTCCCAGTCAAAGCACATACAAGAATCAACCGATGACTGCATAAATTAAGTGGAACAACAAATTGACATTTCTCCCTCTCCCCCTCCTTTCCTGTCTCTCTAAAATGAATGAATGAATGAATGAAGGAAAAAGAAACCGTGCGCGTACACACACGCACACACATACACACAAAGACACCATCTATCACCTGGCCATTATGAGTAGAGGCCACAGTGCTGTTTTGGGTCCCCAGAAATTCGCATCAATTCAGAGCCAATGTTTAGTGACCTGAGAAGGTCTGGATATTTCCTTTTTTTCTAATGCACAGACACTCCACTAAGTAGTCATAGGTTCCTTTGGGTAAATCTTAGAGAAAAAGTCACAATATATAATTGCAGCAATGCTACAGAATTCATCCTCAGAGGGGCATGCCCCTTCAGTCAAGAGCCTCCGGATCTGTGAATGACTTAGTTCTGGAAACTAGATGAGAGACCATGACTCTTCATTTTGGTGACTCAAATCAGGTGTTTGTCTACGAGACTTGAACTTTTTTTTTCTGTTATATAGATCAAGTAATGCTTTGTCAGGCTGCATATCAATTTTGTTCCTTGGTATATCATGACTAATTAGCCATCACCAAACATCCCAGTGGGGAAAAGCATTCTGACAATAGGTATAGCCTGCTGCCCTTCATGGTAAATGTGTCCACCTTGTCATTGACAGCTCAGGGCACTCTAGGAGCCCATCATCCCTACTGAAGTCAGGGAGCCCGTATCAGTGATGTTATCACCCATGGTCTTACCTAGTCTGCATAGGAAAGAAAGGACAGAGCTTTGGAGGGATGCAGGTGAGCTCCTCTCTAGTGTATTTCTCAATGGCTTTAGTAAAGGAGTATCTTCTAGGAACAAGTGTCTCACAGAAACTAGTTAGAGGTGAGTGTTTGGTGACAGATCTATAGGTCACACATGATAAATTCACTCCGATATTCCTATCTCCCCAAATCTTTGGGTTCTGTCCTCCACATCACAGAAGGAAGGCTCTGGCATCTCCACTTAATTAAATGTGGGCCACTGTTGAGTCCAAGTTTTGGTTAAACAACCAAACAAATGGTTGGAGTCACAAGCTAACATATTAAATTCAAAATCTCCGGTAAGTATATCACTGTCAATGACCTCAGCCCATTCTGGTGTTATTCCACCTCTTGGCCTAATGCCCTTAGAATCCATTCCCACACGTTCCCCAGGTTTCTGCCAACGTGTATTAGCAAAGTCTTGTGATTCTTCTGGCATGTAAGCTATTTCTTTCTGATTTACAGTTATTTGAGTTATCTGCTCTTCCCGGGACTTGCTGAGATTTTATCCTAGTTATGGATCCAGGGGCAGTAGGGGTAATTGTGCTGGGTCCTGAGAGTGAGCATCCTTTTTCAAGGCATCAGATGAAGTTATTATTACAGGGAAAGGAAGACTACTATTCTCAGGCACAGGAGAGCATCCTCATTCTACTGGCAAAACAGTGAGTTGGGGGTTCAAGATTGTCAGTTATATCTGAGTACAACGAGATATACCCATTCCAAGTTTCAGGTCCCTGTCTCCCCCAATGAATGCCCTAACTTGTAGGTGAGAAACCTGACATGACTATCAACTCGTGTGACTGAAGTACCATCAAAACCAATAATAGAAAAATGGTGTTCTATTATCACTACTATTAATTAACATTGCACTTGACATTCTATCTATAAAATAAGCCACCAAATGGAGAAAGACATATAAATAACGAAAAGGAAAATATAAAATTGTTACTATTTGCAGTCAATAAGATTTTCTACCTAGAAAACCCAAATGAATCAACTGAAAAACCATTAAAATTAATATGAGAGGACATAAGGAATCTAGAACAATATTTAAAAATGTAGTATTTTCAGATACCTTGCACTTAGAGACATGTCCAAGAATGTTTAGCATTGTTCTAACAGAAAAACTCAGAAACAACTAAATGTCCACTGACAGAAGAACAGTCAAGTAAATGTTGGTATATCCTGTGTATGGGATATTATAAAGCAGTTGTAGTGACAACAATATGCCCTCCTGTGCCTGAGAAGAGTAGTCTTCCTTTCCCTGCAGTAATAACTTCATCTAATGCCTTGAAAAAGATGCCCACTCTCAGGACCCAGCACAATTACCCCTATTGCTCCCGGATCCATAACAATAGATATGGTGTGATCTCGCTTACTTTAAAAACAAATATAAATAAATAAATACTAACAACATGTAAATAGGTACATATAGAAGTACGTATATTAAAAGAAAAAGATGTGAAGAAATCTTTTTTAAAGAGGGAGCGATTAAGAGAGCTTTCACTTTTTAAACTATATATATTTTTGTACTTTTCAAATTTTCATGTAGAAGTATTTGTGTATTGCTTGTGTCTTGGGCTGAAGATCTGGAAAACACTGACTTATCTGTCCACCATTCACTTAATCTACCAGCTCATCTGATTGTTTTCAAATACCTGCTGTGTCTTAACACTCGAAACAGGTAAAATGATACTAGTTCTTAAATTGCAGGCTACAGGCCCCTGATTCTAACAGCTTATCAGGTATTTTCTTCAGTAAAGGCCTACAAGATAGCATCTAGAAATTCTTTAACTACAAATTTGGAATTGTTTACTGAAAATTCATTACCTTCTCAAAGGTAGACTGTATCATGGGCCACCTAGAAATTTTTTCCTTATTCATCCAACAGGATTTTGAAAGGATCTACTCACCATGGTTTGTTGTTAGTATTAGAAATACTAACCATATAGTGGTTAAACTAAAACCATATAATTCACACAAGAAGAAATAAAATGAATAAATAAATATATGGAAAAATGGTCAAGTCTGTTAGTAAGCAAAAAAATGCAAAATAGAGCAACTCATTAAGTTTGCACACTTTTAATATCTAAAATGGCTAGTGCTGTTGAGGATACCTGAAAGTAGGGCCTGTACACACTGTTAATGGCAATGTAAGTTTGACAGTATTAACAATATTAGCAATTCACAAAATACCAGTCTCTCTGGCCTCATAATCTCATGCTTGAGATTTACTTTGGGTAAATAACTGCAATGAAGAAAAATAGTTACTTGGCAAAGCTTTCATTCCTGAATTATTTATAATAATGAAATTTTGGAAATAACCTAAATATCTAAAATAAAGGGTAACAAGTAAACCATTGCATGACCAAATTATAAAACCATTTAAAATTATTTTATGAAGAGACTGATAACTTGGAACATATGAATTAAAAAAATTGGCAATTGTTTAAAAAAACTTCCTGCAACCAAAAATGTTATTTTTATAATTTAAAAAGTCATATTTTTAAATTATGACAATGAAACAATAAAAGAACAAGAAAAGTTTTCTATATAATGCTATATGAATAAAGGCAAAAGACAAAATTTTACCTCTACTCAAATTACAGCTTTAAAAATATTTATTCAAATGAATAACTTTAAGAGAAAACATGGGCTGGTAGAATTCATTAGGCTGGTAGAATTAAGATTGATTTTTCTTTCCCTAAAAAAAATGTTTTTGCTGTCCTTGTTATAAGTGGAACACATGCATCAGAGGGTAAAAAAGTTTAGGTGACTCACCTGCTGCTCCTTTCGAAGGAATATTTCAATCTCCATATGAATCTGGTTCTCTTCTTCAGTTTTTAACCTTAGTTTCTGTGAGAACAATAAACCAAGACCAGGAATTCTTCCCAGCAAGGTTGGAAACGAGCGCTTCTCAAGATTAGAGGTGCAGCTGGGACAGCTGCACAGGTATTCCTTACCAGCTGGAAACCCCAGAGCTCCGGGAATTGCCCCAAAGCTGCAATTCCTTTTCCTTCCACTCAGTGTCCACAAACAGCACTGAGCTGTGTGTCAGGCACTGTGCTAGATACATGCAAGTGCCCAGAACAAAAGGACCATAATCCTGTTGCCTGGAAAGTGATATCAATTTAAGGAGAGAAACAATGCTTCCCAGGGACAGGTTCTTAGGCCTAGAAAATGAAATTCCACGGTACAAGACAAACGTGTGCTGTCACAGTCTTAAGCCACACCTGGGGAGTGAGCTCCAAATAAGCAGGGAGCTCAAAGAAAGGAAAGGAAAAGAAAGGAGTCCTGCACAGACACACTACTGAGTTTGCTCCTGGTTGCCTACCTATTGTTCTTCAAGCCATTTTTAGCTTTCTTCCTCTAATGACGGTCTAACCCCTGTTTCTTTCTCCTGATATTTTTCACTGTGATTTCTCATTTCTATAAATTTAGGTTTGAGTGAGGTTCAGCTCTCTAGATTTTGTATTTCTTAGCAGAGGGATAAAAGATAGTGGTTGAGTAAGGAAAGCAGTAGCAGTATCCTGCAGTTATTACCTATTTTATTTTGCTCTCTTTCTATAATTTCCAGGAGAAATGGCAAGTGGTTTTATAAAATAAAGTGACCATGGGAAGAAAGTACAACCAATTTTTAAAAAACAAGAGATACAGGCTATACAGCCCATCAGAATCTCTGGTTGCAAATTGGCAAGTCCTCCTTCCATTCTTATTTTTAACCTCATATGTTAGGGCTGCAGGAGAGGTCAAAGAACATGAAATTCTCCCTCTCCTCCCCACTCTGTTAGCTGAGGCAATGCCAGGAGTGACAGCTCACATGCCATCCATCTCGCTCATTCCTAATGTAGCAGTGATTACCTCAATTTCTTCCAGCAACAGCTCCTCTGTTTTGTTACATTTTTTCTGGGTCTGAGAAATCTGCAGCTCAGTGTTTCTCTTCATATAATGATTTTCCATGTTAGTTTTTGCCTTCAGCTCTTGCAACTGGTCCTTGAGGTGGGCAATATATTCATTCTGACTCTGCAGAGGTGAACCCAGATTTCTAAATCAAAATACATTCTACCTCCATTCAGCTCAGCCAGTGCTTTAAGCTTAACTTTTGTATGTGTGCATCAAAAAGGAACTGAACCTATTTTTCTGCTATCATACTATGGGAAATTTAGCCAGTAATGATCACAGATCATATAAATGAGAATGGAAGATAAGTAATTCTAAGCATTGGGACTATGAGATTCTTTCCTAAGCACACTCTTTGGCTACTCTGTATCCACAAGAATTTCCCATTGCTCTCTCTTTTTGGTAGAAAGAGCACTGGTATAATGACCAAAAGACCGAACACTTCGCACCCAAGCCCCACTAGCCGTGTGGCCTTGGCCAAGTCAAGTCAGGTAAACTCTCCAAGTCTTACCTTCTATAAAATAGAAAATTAATATCTACCCTGACTGGAATATCCCAGAAGTGATGATAAGGATTGAGAATACGTGTGAAAACTCTTTGCAGGTTACAAAGTAGTTGGCAATTTTAAGGCCTCAATATTTATTTTAAAATATTTATTCAGTTCCACACTAGGTAAATAGTAGAGATCTAACTAGACATAGTCCTTGGCTCATGAATTTTACAAATGAGTGGCAGACAAGGGGCTAAAAGGAATCAAACAAATATGTGTAAACTATTTCAAAGGTGCAAAATGCTATGAAAGGATAGGGCAACCAGCTATGGGAGAAACCAACAAGGGAGACCTATACTAGAATACATGGTCTGAAAAAGATTCTCTGCAAAATGAATGTTAAATATGACACCTGAAGAATAAGCATGTCTGTCGCATGAAAGTGGTGTCAACAAGAATTCTAAGGAAAAGGAAATACGTGTGCCAAAGCTCTGAGGCAGCAAATACCTGGATATGGTCCAGGGAGCAAAAGAAAACTCTGGAGGCTCTAGTCCAGTGAGGGTTGACAATCAGATAAGATGAGGTTTAGAGAGGTAGGTGAGAATAAAACATGCAGGTACTTAATAGTACCTCGGGGGCACTATTAAGAAGTTTGAATTATATTCCAAGTGTCCCTGGAAGACCTGGAAGAGTTTTAGTCAGGGTGGTAATATCTGATTGTTTGAAAAGAAGCAAAGAGTGAGTAATTAGAAGAAACAAAGCAGAAATAGGTTACAGTAATCCATAATGAAAAGAAAACCCACTTTAAAGAATCATAGATCCTTAAAATTAGTCAAAAAGGAATTCTTCAAGTCATTTTGCCTAACTTCTTTGTGTAACTCTATGGAATTATTCCAATTATACAGCACTTATTCCAACTGTATTACAACCATTCCAAAGGAATAAGTATCTCTGGTAGAGAACGTGCTATGAGCTCATTTAATACATTTTATAGTACTTCATAAGCTTTTAGACATTGTAGAATTGTGGGCAAATTACTTAACTTCTCTCAAACCATTTTCTCTTCTGTAAAATCCTGCCAGTACCTGGCACAACTTAGATGCTCAATAAATGGTCATTAAATCCTTTTAAGATACCACTTTTTGGCTCATGTTTTTCCTTTCCTTCCACTCCCTTCCCTTTTTTCCATACTTCTCCATTTCTCTTCTCTCCTCTCTTCTAGTTCCAAATTGTATAGCAGTCAATGATAAAGTTTGAATCTCCAGGAATATTTGAGTTAAAGTGAAATGTGATACTTTCACTTTATCAACTGTAATCACTTAGACTTTCTTTAAGGTCCAGCTTATATATCACTTAAATCCACAAAACCTTTTTCCAGAAAACCTCAGCTCACATAAATAATTGTAGATTTGTTTTTACCAGAACCTAATAGTGTTAAACAGTTAGGTATTCATTAAATAGTATCCACTCAAAAATACGCTTTCAAAAACACAAGGGAATGTTCTGGTTAGGTTTTTTTTTTTTAAGTCAAATTGAATATTAAGTCTTTCAGAATAACAATATGAAGATCGGAAATACAGAGTTAAAACTCTAGGAGTTTCTGTCTATGGCAAACAGAAGGCACTGCATTATGTATCTGTTAGTAAGGCCATACGACATCGGTCTACAATTACACTATGCCAAGTGAAAGGCATCTGGTTTTCATGTTACTACCATAGGCTTCTGATTACTCCGAGTTCCTCTCTATATTTCTGTTCTACACAAATTTATGGCCTTCAATGGTGGCAGTGTGGAAACAGAAGAGGACATAAAATACTGACAGGATAGTGATGGTAAAATCATGATCAAGGCAGACTAATAAATGAACTGAAGTATCATTCCACTTTCTCATCTTCCCAGTGTTCAGTAAAGGGGGTATGAGCCAAGGGCGTTGAGTTGTATGCATTCCTTTTAAGATTCTCACTAACAAAAGGCCTGCCATCACCACTACCCACCGTCATAACCGTGGTTGTCCATAGTATCTGGAGCTGTCTCCATGATCAAGGTCTGTGGACTGTGTGGCCTACTTGTGGGTTTTTGTAGCAGACCAAACTCACTTCCAAATCCCAAAACTGCCTTCAGATGTGGGTTTCTGGAGTTGTTACTTGAATTCCATGAAGCATGAACGATTTAGCAGTCAACCAATTAAAGTTAATAAGGCTCTGATGACTGCCACATTATTGTGGGCCAAAGGATTTTAACAGTAGTGTCTGTTTTCATCATTGAACACCAAGTAGGGACAAGAGTACTTGTTCCTGGAATTCTTGGAAGCTACTGTCTGGAGAAGTTGGAACTTGTCTTGCCTCCTTTGGTTGGGTAGAAAAAATGGAAATGTGGTCTATTAAAGGGATAACAGCCACAGAAAGAAACATAGTTTTGTATTAAGTTAACATTTGCATTTATCTGTCTGTATCACTAAGAATACTGGCTGATTCTGTAAGAGTCCATGAATAAAGTTTGAACTAAACAGAGTCTCCCTTCTGAGATACTGATGAAATGTAATCAAGACGAAACTTCTAAAGTTTCAGGCTCCAATTCCACCTATTGCGTTCATTTCCTTTGAATTATTCTCTTTCTAATTGTGCCAATTCCTCTTTTCTTTCCTTTTGTTGTAAAGTTTCCTCACATCTCACTGTGTTGGCTTATCTCTTCTGAGTAAACTTTTGAAATGTGATGCCTAAAACTGTACACATTCTTATAGCTGCTATCTAATCACAACAGAGGATATGGGAATATTTTCTCCCTGTTATATAAACACTACACCTATTTCAGTAATCAAAACAATGAGAAAGTACTCCAAATGTTTTCACAATGCATAGTAATATGTTGTCATATTGTTAAGACTGATGACAAGCCCTGGGAAGAAGAAAGCACTATGAATGGAAGACTCTGAGAGGTCTAAGGGTGGGAAGGCAGACACCATTTAAAAACGCTGCTGCTGTAACAACCAGTGGTGGAGCTAGGTCTCAACTCGGGTATGTTAGAACCTGGCCAAACATCTAATGAAACTGTTGAAGACAAGTTAGGTCTTCCCAATTCTTAATTTAGAAGATTCTCCTAGAGACTTTAGTTTCACCCTTGCTTCTTTTTGGAGCCACTTCAAAGTTCTAATGATCAACAGGGTTTTGAATTCTAACATCAATTATTTATCACATACCAGCTCCGAGTCGCTTGCAAACTTAACAAGCATGTTTCCTATATCTTCATTTAATTCTTGAATCCATTTTGGACCATAGAGATCACCATGGTCATCTGAGCCCATTCTTTTTGGTATTCTCTACCTGGTTCCCCAAAAAGAAATTAGAGTTGTCAAAGCATGCAAAGAGCTAAGGGGCCTGAGTGAAGAAAAGAGCCAGGTAACATGCAAAGTAGTAATAGGGTGGCCAGAGAAAAATCAAAGTATGGGTTGGCGGGTGGAGTAATTCAGGCCTGTTTTAAGATATCATACAAAGCTTCCAGGAGAGCACTAAGCTTTTCAAAATGGAGTAAGTGACCAAGGGTGGCAACAGGGTTGCTCAATGAAGAACAAAAGCATGAGGAATTAGTACTGCTGCAGTTGGCTTACAGCCACACACAGTCTAGACATTCATGTGAACCCAATTCCAAGGAAGAAATATCCATGATTAGGCCCTGCTAAGGAGGAGGTACAAAATGTTCTTCATCCAGCAGTAGATTACAAGTAGGGCACTGTAAGAGTCAAAGGGCAGGAGTCTGTACTCTGACTCAAAACCTTGCAGTGTTTTTAGAACAAAGAACCAAAAAACAAATTTTGGGATAACTATAGCCACATCATTTTAAATAAGCCTGAAAAAAAGAAAGGAAACTTCAAGCTCTGTGTATAAATTATGTTCGAACCTTTGTCTGACTCCTGAACCATATAGTTGCTAGGAATAATGCAGGCAATTCTGCTAAGAAGAAAAGAATTGAACTGATATTTGAGTTACTGCCCACTGTAAGTAAGAGTTTTGAGTTTGAGCCCTGACTAGTGTGGCTCAGTGAGTTGGGTGTCGTCCTGCAAAGCAAAGCGAAGGGTCACTGGTTCCATTCCCGGTCAAGGCACATGGCTGGGTTATGGATCAGGTCCCCAGTTGGGGCTGTGCAAGAAGAAGCCTAAAGATGTTTCTCTCATATATCAACGTTTCTCTCCCTCTCTTTCTCCCTCCCTTCCCCTCTCTCTAAAAATAAGTAAATAAAATCTTTTTTAAAATGTCTTTAGTTTGACTTTAACTAAGTCAACTGACCACTAAAACAAAAATGTCGATATGCTTTGGGAAATAAAACAGAAATGCCCAGCTCTGGCCAGTGTGGCTCAGTTGGTTGGAGCATCATTCTGCAAAGAGAAGGGTCACTGGTTTGAATCCCAGTCAGTGCACATGCCTGAATGGCATGTTCCCTCCTCAGTCAGGCACATGCAAGAGGCAGTCCGCCAATCAATCTTTCTCTATCACATTTATGTTTCCCTCTCTCTCCCTCCCTTTCTCTCTCTCTGAAATCAGTAAGTGTGTCCTTGGGCGAGGATATTTTTAAAAATGACTGTATGTTGAAATTTGCAGACAAGGAGTTTAAACAAAGCTCAATATATTAAAGAGCAATA